TTCGTATCCTCACAACAAAAACAACAAAGGCAGGCATGGCTGAGAGTCAGTGACTGGCCCAGAGTCACCCAAGGAGCTCCAAAGGCCGAATGGGGACCAGAACCCAGATCGCCTGAGTCTCAGTCCTGCGCCCTGAACCACTGCACCACACCGGCTGTCATATAATAGCTGCCCCTGTGCTTAAACTGCTCATGTAGAGAAGCCCTGAAAAACAGGGAAGAGAATTTGCTGGAAAAGTTCACGCAGGAATCACTGTACAGCACCTTCATGCAATGGCCCTCAAGAACCTGGAGAGGACAAGCATTGCTTTCTGTGTCCCAGGCTGTTCAATTGCGGAAAATAACACAAGCAGTCCATACTTTGGAGGTGTTGCAACTTTTAATAAAAAGGTGTCTAGCTTTCAATGGAAATATATAATGAATAATATGTAGCCTGAAATAAGGGCAATCAAAAACTCTATTCAAGCTGACAAGCAATCAAAGTACAAATCTGAGCACTGCAGGGCGTAGAGACCCCTGGAATCAATGAAGTTACATTGGTTAAGCCATTTATTGCTTTGAGAGTGGAGTTTGCTGGTAAAATTCATGCTGGGATCCATTCAGACTGTGAGAGGATGTGCTGATCTAGAAAACATGCCATTTCTTTGATCTACCTCCAATATATTTTGCATTTCCTGTTGGACTTTATTAACAGGATGAGGCATCTTTGTAGTACAACGTATTTCAAAATTGTGTCTTGTTTTTTTAAACTTAGATAACTGACTAAGAGAAGCACTGGAAAACTCCTATTTTGCTTTCCGGGGATGTTTCTGTTGGGGAAAACCAATCAAAGCTAAATTAGTTTTGCATTTTGTTCTGACTGCAGTTTCATTTCACTGTCCTTTTCTTGTGGCATTACCAGCTGCAGGTGGAGCTGGAGGAAGAAAGCAAAGTGGTGAAAAAAAAATCCCTAGGCAATGGTCTTTTTCTTTTATTTTAAATGCATGATTCCAGGTATAGAACCCTCTGAATCATGAGCATACAGTTTATATATTGAGAAATATCTAAACAAATAAACAGATTCCTCTGAAAATTAAACTCTGCCATGCTATGGAGTTTTTGCGGTTGCACTTACCTCTCAAGAAGCAAGAGTTGGGGTTCAAGGCACATTGATGAACTATTACGAAGGGGGTTTGGGGGATCTGCATATTGCAAGCATTCAACCTACCTACTAATTGGGGCCAGGATATCTGAGGGGTTGCCCCTCTCCATATGCTTCCACCCAACTACTAAGGTCCTCATCCAAAGCCCTTCTCCAGGTCTCTCCCTGCACTGAAGGGGGACGGCTGCGAGAAGGGCTTTCATTAGAGTGCCACCCCACTTCTGGAGTCCTCTGCCAAAAGAAGTCAGCCAGGCATCTTCACTCTTCTCTTTTGGGCACCAGCTGAAGACATTTTAATTTCATAATCATTTTGGTGAGGAAGTGGTTTTATACCAGTTCATTGCTGCTGCTCCTGGTGCATTGAGTGGTTAGTTGCCAGACAATATTTATTATTTATAATTTCCATTATTGTTTCAAATGGTTTTATTATTCATTGATTGTTTAATTTTGTTGTCATTCTGCTTTTAGATGTTTTGTTCACTTGTTGTTTTATTATTTTATTGTTACTTTAAATGTTTTATTGGAGTTT